AGCAGTGAAAGATTGCGAAACTTCCGCAGCCTGTAAAAAATTTATTTTTCTACAATCAGTTGCTGTAACCCTGACCTCCATTAATCCCAACTTCTAAATATAATTTATAAAAGCTTCATATTTTACTATCTATGGCATCATAACCCAACAAAAACTCAAATTAAAACGAAGAACCAAACTCCTGCAAACAAGAATTCAAATTGGGAGAAGATAAGAACAAGCCCGGCGACACCATCGATGAAGAAGCCGAAATCCAAGCCGAAGCAGAGGGGCTCTGTCCTAAAGTAAGCAGCAGAGGATCTTCTTCAACGAATTCCCTCTTTTCCTCCATCTCCTTCTCCAAATCCAACCCGGATCCTCCGCCGCTCCCCGGAGCTCTCTGCAACTCGCTGGCGTGCTTTCCAGTGAGCTGCTGCACCAAGCTCATGAACTCCTGCGGCTTCGCGTGGATTACCTTTGGGGAGTGGAGGTAGGTTATCATCGGAGATTGTCGAGAGCCGCCATCGCCGGCGATCACCGAAGGGGATTTGCCGGCCTTCCATGAGTCTTTTGAAATTTTGAGGGGGTGAGGCCTGGGGCCTTGAAGGCTTCTGCCGGACGCCGATGGCATGTGTTTATTTTTACAGGGCGGGAGGGGAGCCAGCGGAAGGTACCTGTTTGTATATATGTATGCATATGGATGGTTCGGAGGGTTGACCGAACAGGGAAAGGTATGAAAAAGTCAAATTAATGTGTCGTCTGTTATTTAGTTTGACCTTTGACTTCGTGCTCCGGACGTATTTTAAAAATGTGTATGAAGGAGAGCCTAGTGGTCCGGACACGATTTAGCACCGTTCGCGAGAGCTTGTGACCCAGGTCGTGACTATCGAGTTTGAAGAGAGAGCGGAAATTTTGCCACGATTCATGAATGTATGGTTAAAATTATTTTTAAATGTATTATTGCGCGAAAATAATTTTATTATTGCTGTATGACAAAGACATTATATTTGATGCGTGCTGAAAAAATTGTGGCGGTAGAGTAATTGATTATTGTCTTAGCATTATACGAGAATTCAACACA